AACAACATATTTTAGCGCATATGTTACAATTGTGGTTTAAAATAAATATTCAGCTAAATTTCAGGTACAGACTTTAAATAGTTACAAATTTTTTTCCACAACATATCTCTGTAACGTCAGAGTGTGACATCCAGCGTTACGCTTCGGACAAATTTTTTGTACCTGACCCCCAGCGATAAAACACATACTTATGTTAAAATAACGACCTATTCTCTACGGCCAATTAATTTAAATAATTTTTTATTTAATTTATGTAGAAAACACAAACTGTATAATTTAGCTAAACAGAATTAATATTAATTAATATACTTTTACCCTTAGTGACGTAATATAGGGCTCACATTTAAAAGTATCACAGTTAAAATGTATCACATTTAAAACTTAACCGGGTCCTGAGACCAGATTTCCTGCCACTTATTTATAAATTATTTAGGTTATTCCTGAATTATGATATATTTCCTACGGACTGAAAAGTGTGTTTTAATACTCCAAACATGAAAATCAGGTGATAGAGGTGATATTGCGAATTATGAACCAATTTCTAAGCTAATTATTTTAGGTGATGTTTTTTATACTAGTTATAAATTCTACATTAGTTGTATTCCATAAATATAGGGCTATAAAATTAATTGTTCATTTTTCTTCCATTCCTCTCAGGAGGGGGGGCAGAGTTTTCGTTATTTTTTTTGTAATTCCAATTTTATTATTAAAATACTAAAAAAAAATTTAGGGTTTGCACTTTTGTAATACTATAAATTACACGTGGACTTTATTAAAAATAATATGAAAAATAAAATAGGTCGGACCGCCTATAGTTATCTTAGATAAAACAAACTAGGTAGAAATTAACACAGTTAAAAAGCCTTCGGTAATTTATCAATAACAAATTTTGTATCTCTGAGTAATGCGTAATATTTATTAGTTATTTTAAAAATTTAGTAAATTTTTAAATTATAATTAACATTAAAATAAATATTACAACATTATTCGTATGCCTATGGTATTTTAATGGTCAAAAGTAAAAAAATCTACTACTGCATCCCAAAAACACATAAAAGTTGACCATTTTTTTAATTGAAAACTTTGATTTACTAGGTATAACTAACCAATCCAATCAATTTGACATTTTTTTAGAACAAAGTTTAAGCACGCCTCTATCTAAACATGCCCCCGAACCCCAATTTAGACGACCCACCGCCCCTTGGGAAGGGTAAGACATTTTTTTATTTTATTTAATTTTCTTAGGCGCATTTTTAGGATATGAGAGCTGACATTTATTATGAATAATAATACAATACAAAATATAAATAATTTCAATAATTAGAAATTTAGTCTGAGAATAGGTCTAACATATTTTAATATATGTAAAAAAATTATTTTAATATAATGAAAAACCCCAAAATGTGTTTTAAAACTTGAAATTTAGTATATGACCTGATTTTCACATTTGTTTATCGGTTTTGATGCACAACAACATATTTTTCGATTATGAATACGATTTTATCGATACAGGGTACTCCATCAGTATATTTTAATAGTTGAAGTATCATATTTTTATTCTAAGTAGATAGTTTCTCTTATTCGTCTTGTATATCGCCCAGAAGCCATCGACTAGTCAGTGGCATAACATCAAAACTTTGGACCAGAAGCCATGGACCATGTTGTTGTACATTCATTTCTTCCTACAACCCGTGAAATAGTTTATTTAAACAAGTGCTAAAAAACATTGAATAGCAGTATACTATACTAAAACACAGAAACGGCAAATAAAATATCGACAAAAATATGTTTTCGTGCGTCAGTTTTTTCGTACTACTAGAAAAACAAAATACAAGTTTTACCTAAAAAACACAATTAGTACTGCAAAAACCACAACAGCTGCGTGACTTACAATTAAATAGTTTTGTACTATTAAACATTTTTGAAGCTAAAACTAGGTTATGTCGCTTACTTGGCCATTGGTGTTGCTGATTATTATAACAGCGGGGCAATCCGATTGGGGTGTCCGCCAACCAATGTATGCCGAGACAAAAACGGATGATCACTATGAAAAATTGCTCTACATAGATACGGGATACTCTCACGAACAGTTGATAAATAATTGGGCTGAACATAAGACAAGTCCGACATTGACAGTGGCGACAGCGATTGATGATATTTACGGAAAACTGCTGTGTAGTTATGTGTATAATTGCAGTTATTACATGAATTTGATCAAACCTCTGTTGGTTTTAGAAGGCAATGATGCGTTAAAAGATCCAATTACTGGTACGATTGACCGCGACATTTTATTCGGACGCCAAGTGGTCGCTATGTTAAACATTTTGTACAATTTCGGTAAGATCAATTCCGTTGAACCCTTATGGCTCGTGTACATGTATTTGGGTACGTTGAGCAGTTTAACTAACAATCCTAAATTAAACCAAGACGATCCAATGCGTTTATTGCAACAGCACGAAACAGTTTCCAACAGACTTGTACAATTCACCGACCTTAATTGCAATAATGAAGATGATAATAACGTGTATAACGACCGAAACGATGATTCCGTTTATTTCAAATCTCTGGTAGAAATTGGAGCTAAACCTATAATAACGCGAGAGTATATCAAAAGCTTGGTGGACCGATTCACGTCCACGATTCGTAAGAGAATCGACAAAATAACTACGGATTTAAAATATATCGATAGTGCAACATATTATATGGATTTTGATCGATTGTTTTTGCGTCCTGCAATTAATGACTCCCGTGTTTTTAAGAACTTTTTGTATGGCGTTGCGGGAATTAACGACGAAAAGGAACAAGACCGTATATACAGTCTATTAAATGATACATGCTCTAGAAGTATTGACGTCCAATCTTTTGAGACACTGGCCAATAACGTTGCTAAATGTCATGACCTTTTTAGAACCGTTATGAAATACATTGTGTTACACATCTCGTGGATTTACGTACTTGAAATCGCGGCTCACTTACCATCTAAAAACCCCAAAAAACCGCCGGTATATAAAGTTAAATCCTACAAAAAATGGCGGCAAACAGCAGCCATCAGTAAGATAGAGATGTACACCGGGCTAATATATCCCGATTTTAATAACATTTTACAGTATTTGAATTTGAAGAATGATGAAGAATTGGTATTTATCGATGAACTGTTCTAATCGCAATCATCTGCAAGCACGCTGGCCGATGTAGAAAAAAACAATGCAGTTAATGAGAAATTGTTGGCTACACTAAAAGATGTCGATGCTCGTCTTCGTTTACATTTCGGCCAAAGTCTCTTTTCTCCGGTTGAACATAGCAGAAAATATTATAAAAAAAGGTTTAAAGCGCTAGTAACGGAGTTATATTCATACGTATTGTCTTATATGTATTTGCCTAAGTCAAATAAGCCACTTGTGAGTCAATTAAGTTTCATGTTATTTAGTAAATATGTAGACAAGTATTTTAGTATTTTAGACTACACTGTTATCGCTTCATTTGATTCTTTTTGGAAAAATTATCATAATTAATTTATATATTATTACGAAGTATTGATACTTGAATTATTTTTTCTGTTAAGCTTTTGCTTCTTAAATTTATACTATACAATTAAATGATAATTTCAAATGTGTGTATAGCTACTAAATAATGTGACTAAATCAGATTAATAAAAGTTGTTATAAATATAACATACTGTTATTTACTATTTGAATTGATTGTCGTTATCAGTTATATAATATTTTTTGTTTGCTTGTGAAGGACAAGCTTTTGGAGGGAAAAAACAATCTTATTAAACATATTACTTTAAATAAAGTAAAATATACAATTTCCGAATTTTTTTTTTTTAAATTAAAATCATATTTTATTATTAAATGTAATGCGGTATTTATTTTAAACATTTTGGCTAAAAACAAATTTGTTTAAAGAAAAAAACACTGCGACATACAAATTCTATATAATTTTTATTAATACAAATCAATCACATGTCATTTAGGTTAATAATATGATACCTAATAATATGATAGTTGGTTGGTGTTACATAAAATTTCCATTAAGTTTCATAAATGCTGGACAAGGTGCGAAAAGACACTAGCATGCTAAAAATTTTAGCATATTTACAAGAGTCTTTTAAATATATGTCACAATTCTCTATGACAATTTATTACTATTAAAATAATAACTAAAAACTGAACTGTTTTAAGATCTGTATAACTAGTAAGCACATATGGCAAGTTATTTTATATTTTACCGCATTTACATTGGACAAGAACGATTTTATTAAAATAAATTTGAGCAAATTCACAAAGAACTGATCAAAATTGGGTCAAGCACGACGCACAATTATTATTATGTTTTGTAAATTCATCATAGAAAAAAAAACAATTCCATAAATGTTATGGAACGGTTTATGATTGTTATGTTATTAAAATATAGTTTTTGTACTTTTGGGTTATATACAAATTCAGGGATTGAATACGTTACCTCACCAAAATCAAAACTACTTGTCAAATTTTAACCAGTTCATAAATAATTAACTAATTAAAAAAAGGACTTTTTTAAAAATGATATGGCGTCAGTCGTACTAGGTATATCGAAATAATACGGATGCTAGAGCACAAAATAATTTTGTCATGTACACTATGTATGCATTTCTTTCCTTAACTATACTATGTGAAGCCTGAGAAAAATTAATCCGCGCAAAGCAGTTTTGATGGAAAAAAATTGTAATTTATTCTATAGAAATGTCTGTGATTAGTCTGACAAAAAATAACAGATATTTGGCAACAGGGAGTACATTTGTCTCGCTTGGGTTGTATTTTTGGCAACGGGAGTCTACTGTTGGGCGGATCGTAGCAGAGACAACCAAAATAATATGGGATACAATGAAAGAAGTTAAGATGCCGAAACCGAATAAGGACCGATGGCTAAGTACGGCAGAGCGTTTTAAATCGTTGTGGAATCTTCCAAACTTTATAGGCTCTATCGACGGAAAACATAAAATACGTATAGAAAAGCTACCGAAGTTACAGGTTCGAGTAATTTCAACTACAAGGCTTATCATGATTCCGTAAACCGGTCTAAAAGTTTTCAACTAGCAATAATCGCACCTCGGATGGACCTCATTGGTTACGATATCGCCACTGCGCAAAGCTAAAACCGGTCTAAAAGTAAATAAACTACCTAAAGCCGTTATGAAATTATTGGTTTGTAAGTGAAATATAAATTCACCAGAAAAGACATCAGGGCAAAAAGCCCTAAACGCCATGCAAAGTCGTCCGACTTTTGTAAACAACATCAACACTGAAGAATACATTATTTACATCTAAAAGTATAACTGTCAGAGACAACACAAATAAGAACGGTCGTAAACAACTGTTGTCTACAGCGAAATCGCACAGCTCGATAGTCACAATATTGAAACCGTTTCATTCCTATAACCATATGTTATGAACCACATTGTTAACATTGTTTTAATCAAAGTCGCATACTACATGTAAGTTATTTGCTACATCACTCGCCACGCTACACGCCACGTTATAGAAAGTCTTGCGGTAATTCAATAAGATACAACACTGCCATTACATTATAAAATCGACATAAGTACTATTAGGTATCGAACAGTTTCAAAAGAGTTATTACTTTCAAAACTGATAATTGATTATTTTCAATCCAAGAATATCGTTTAAAAATTTTAAATGTATTCCAAAAATTTCATACCGTTGTTCTGCGTGGCATTATACTTTTTGCAATGTCAGGGTGCTCTTCCAAATTTTGAACATTTTGTAAGTATAACGAGAACATATTATTAAATTACTAAACTTAAAATTCATACTAAAAAATTAATGTTATTACGCTAAAAAAAACCAAGCATATATTATATCTTTTAGTTAAGCGTTTTGATTTTTTTGTGTACATTATATATACAAATATACTAATTGACTAATTCATACTCTGAAAACAATAGGATGCTATAAATGAAATAATCAGAGAATATTTATATCCTGAGGGCATAGTCGATGAAGAAAATCGGACCACTAACTTGATAGGTCTAAGAGATATCATTGAAAAGGTAGGACGGCGAATCGAAGGAAACAAAAAAATTCCCACTGTTGATGAATTGAAAACTATAGGATCAGGTAAAAACAAAAAATTATCCAATAAATTGATTGAGTAAATTGTTCAAAAAATATTTAAAAGACATTTTAATTATCAAGTTTGTCATTTCAAAAATTAGATAAAAAATTAAAAATTAAATGGCATTTTTTTGGAACCTAGTGTAAAAATATTTTTAGCAAAATGTTAGGTACAAAATTCTTTTATTTTTAAAACATTATAAATTTCGATAAAACCATCTAATATGATTACAACATTAGTATTATTAAAATTTTACGCGTTATTATTTTTAATTCATTCTAGGTAAAATAATTGTTCTATTTAGTTATTAAATAAAAATGGGCAACATTTTGTGATTTTAGGATTTACATACACATTGTGGGAAGTTAAAAGATACGTTGCAAAATTCGTAGATTGTGAAGAATTAACCAAGGAAATGGAGGTAAATTGAAACTATACTATTATGCTAGTTAAGTTATAGATATGTGTTAGGACACTGGTATTATTGCAAGTTTCAACTAATCTATAACACAAATAGGTTGAAATCCGTATTGTAAGATTCTTACTGATTTGTACAACGTGTAAATTATTGTTTGGAGAATTAATATTGCGATTGAACATTTTTTTTTTAAGTGATTTTTTAACGCCTACACTAGACATTTTTTTTGTTGTATGTATTGAAAACATTCTAATGTCTAGTTTTTATTCTGAAAACAATAGCCAAAGGTACGTTCTCTGTTCGAATCGTTCAACCGGCCAAATGGCATATACTTTCAAGAATTAGATAATCTACTCACACGATTATGGACGGCTTATCGGAATCCGGATGGCAAATATCCATATCATAAGGAACCGAAAACAGCAATACCGTACAAAATGGCCAGATCGGGTAACAAACAAAATAATTACAATTAATAAATGTCTTAATTGTCTCAAATGATCAAAAATTATTAAAAAAACATTTTAGTAAAGGAGTTTGTCACGTGTGACACATGTGTATTCTGGAAATTATAATTATTATTTTTACTGAAAAATCATAATTCTCTGAGCGGGCAAAATATTGAACAATTGTTGGTGGACAAAATAAATCAAAAACTTGTGGGATACATGATTGGTTTTTTTCCCCCATTTTTTTATAATCTTTACTAATAGATTAAAATTTAATTTAGTTTTAATGATTTGAAATAAAAATGTTTTACGAGTGTCATATGTTATTGTTGACATCTTGTTTGCTGTAAAATTGACCTGATTGGTTTGTTAAAAAATGTATAATATTTTGTACTTTCAGAATACAAGTTTACCAGGGACGAAGTTACAACCATCGTCACTGATTTTTTCTTTCCTGGATTGTTTTGATATATTTATTATTTTTTAATTATATATGTTTATACATGTAGTTTGTCACATAAAAATGATGTTTTGATGAAATAATAAATCACTTTGCTTTTATATTTTGGTTATCATTTATTTAAGTTTGACTAATCTTGCATAAAATATCAAAAAAAGTCCTATTATTTACTAAGTAAAATAGTTTAGTCCTGAACACCTTTAACCTTCTCGTCTCTAATAAGATTTGACACCTAATCCTCAGGCATTACTTGCATAAACTTCGAATGAGTTATTAAGGCATGTACAGTTGCCTATACAAAATTTCGAAATTTGTTCTTTCTTATCAAGCAACATTAAAAAGAAGGAGAATGTTATACTTTGACCGTAGTCAATAGGTACTTAATGAAAATATTTTGATTATACTGTTAATTACGATACATGGGACGATCAACCCTAATCGTATTCGCCTTATTAATAAAAAAATATTTTTTAAGTACATAATAATTGTGCCATTAGATTCTTTTATCGATATTTGTATTTTTATCCGTAAACACTGGACAGAATAGTTGATAATAAATAGATTTAACTTCTAAGAATTACTTTAAAAGTCAAACGGCAACGTGAGTGTTTTTTATTTTTGTTTTTAAACAAAAGGTCCAAACACCCTTTTGGTAGAACATATTACATACTTATTTTGTTATGCGAAAAAACTAAAATCTAATCTACGTTTAATTGTTCTTATTCTTACAATGACCATCATACATTTGTTCTAAAAAATATATTTTGTGCACGTAAGCTGGAGTGTTCTGAATTTAAATTCAAGAAGTTAGGTATTGTTAAATGCTGACGGGACACCCTGTATCGATAAGAGCGAAACGAGCGTCGAAAAACATGTTGTTGTACATTCATTTCTTCCTACAACCCGTGAAATAGTTTATTTAAACAAGTGCTAAAAAACATTGAATAGCAGTATACTATACTAAAACACAGAAACGGCAAATAAAATATCGAAAAAAATATGTTTTCGTGCGTCAGTTTTTTCGTACTACTAGAAAAACAAAATACAAGTTTTGCCTAAAAAACACAATTAGTACTGCAAAAACCACAACTGCCGCGTGACTTACAGTTAGAGAGTTTTGTACTATTAAACATTTTTGAACCTAAAACTAGGTCATGTCGCTTGCTTGGCCATTGGTGTTACTGATTATTATAACAGTGGGGCAATCCGATTGGGGTGTCCGCCAACCAATGTATGCCGAGACAAAAACGGATGATCACTATGAAAAATTGCTCTACATAGATACGGGATACTCTCACGAACAGTTGATAAATAATTGGGCTGAACATAAGACAAGTCCGACATTGACAGTGGCGACAGCGATTGATGATATTTACGGAAAACTGCTGTGTAGTTATGTGTATAATTGCAGTTATTACATGAATTTAATCAAACCTCTGTTGGTCGTAGAAGGTAAGGATGCGTTAAAATATCCAATTACTGGTAAGATTGACACCGACATTTTATTCGCACGCCAAGTGATGGTTATGTTAAACGTTTTGTACAATTTCGGTAAGATCAATTCCGCGGATCCCTTATGGCTCGTGGTCATGTATTTAGGTACGTTGAGCAGTTTAACTAAAATGCCTAAATTAAACCAAGACGATCCAAAGTGTTTACTGCAACAGCACGAAACAGTTTCCAACAGACTTGTACACTTCACTGACCTTAATTGCAATAATGAAGATAATAATAACGTGTATAACGACCGAAACGATAATTCGGTTTATTTCAAATCTCTGGTAAAAATTCGTGCTGAACCTACAATAACGCAAGAGTATATCAAAAACTTGGTGGACCGATTCAAGACCACGATTCGTAAGAGAATCGGCAAAATAACTACGGGTTTAAATATTGACGGTTCTACATATTATATGGAATTTGAACAATTGTTTTTGCGTCCTGCAATTGATGACTCCCGTGTTTTTAAGAACTTTTTGCATGACGTTACAGGAATTTACAACAAAAGGGAAGAAGACCGTATATACAGTCTAATAAATGATACATGCTCTAAAAGTATTGACGTCGAATCTTATGAGGCACTGTGCAAACACATTGCTAAATGTCATGACCTATTTATAACCGTTATGAAATACATTGTGTTACACATCTCGTGGATTTACGTACTTGAAATCGCTGCTCGTTTACCATCTAAGAACCCAAATAAAACACTGGCATATAAAGCTAAATTCTACCAAAAATGGCGGACGCTAGACTCTGCCATCAGTAAGATAAAGAGGAACAACGGGCTAATATATAACGATATTAATAACATTTTACAGTATTTGAATTTGAAGAATGATGAAGAATTGGTATTTATCGATGAACTGTTCCAATCGCAATCATCTGCAAGCACGCTGGCCGATGTAGAAAAAAACAATGCAGTTAATGAGAAATTGTTGGCTACACTAAACGATGTCGATGCTCGTCTTCGTTTACATTTCGACCAAAGTCTCTTTTCTCCGGTTGAACATAGCAGAAAATATTATAAAAAAAGGTTTAAAGCGCTAGTAACGGAGTTATATTCATACTTCGAGATTAGAGACTTATTGACTTATATGTATTTGCCTATGTCAAATAAGCCACTTGTGAGTCAATTAAGTTTCATGTTATTTAGTAAATATGTAGACAAGTATTTTAGTATTTTAGACT